ATTTTATATTTTTTTCCTTTTATGCATTTAAAGATTTTAATTTTAGTTTAGTGTGTTTTCCCGTTTGTAGACTTGCTACGGTTTTATTTAATGAATAAGTTTGTTGCTATTATTTTTCCAGAAAACGGATACTATATATCAATGACATAGAAAAAAGTTACACCAAACAAAATCACCATAAAAGAATCAAAGAAAAAGTTGAGTTGTTAGCGAAGTTCCAAATATGGAGTGGCAGATTAAAAAGGGAAATATTCAACTAAATTGTACACAATCTCCAAATACCTCAACAAGTGAGGTTTGAGCAAAAAAAAAAAAAACTTTCATTATTTATCTTTTTCTTATTTTTTAGAGTTCCATATAATTGTTTATCTGTTAAGATTTGTGATGTTTATGATTACACTGTTGGTGTATTATTTACACACTTAGACACGTTTTTTATTATTTAACTTCCTTTTTAAGCCTACGTGTAAATAAAAATTATCCATTGTTTAAACTCTTTGAGTCCAAGCCTTCATTTCGGTGGCTTAGCCACATTTTTAGTCAATTGATTTGAAAGATTGCTCTCTCTACTCTCTTTTAAAAGTAGGTAGAATGTTAATTTTCCTTGTTGGTGCAAAGTGCTAAGTCTGTGGTTGCTTTTAGAATTAACATTTTAAATTTATATATAAATAAAGGTGTTTAAATAACTTCGGGAAGAAAAAGAGGTGAATAAAAAAAAACTCAATTTCTAATACTCATGAATAAATAAGTGGTATGTTATTAATTTGGTGTTAAAGTAAGGAAGATAACATACCTTACAAGAAAATCTTCGATTAGCTACAACAAATACACTAGCTACTTTGTAGCTAATCTCTATCAAACAAAATTAGTTGGAGATTAACTACAATACGTGTCGTAGCATGGATTGGGTGGTTAATTATCTTGGCAAAATTTTTCTAGAAATAATTCTAATTAATTTTCCTAGCTAAACCACAACAAAATTGTAGCAAAATATCGAGGTTGAATTTATATTTCCCAACTATACAAGCTACAATATGACTACGAAAATATCATAATAAATCTCAAACTTAAATATTTGGAACAAGTTTACAACTATTTTTTATTTTGATTTTTTTAATAAATCTTAATTAGATTATAATAACATTTTTTATAATTATTTAAAATCAAAACTAATTATACTATTTGTAAAAAATTATTCCTAAAAAACAAATTTTAAAAATATTGTAATTGTTGATATTTATTTAAATAAGTTAAATTAATTTTTTTTTAATAATATAATTTTTACTTTATTGCTAAAATGAATATACAATTAAAAAATCATTTTCATAGTCATATATCTTAATCTTATGAGACTAATCCACTAGTCAATAAAATAACAAAAAAATCAATTCTATAATATCTTTAAAGACACTAAAACAATATACATCACATTAATACTCTATTTTATTTCACCTTCGGAAATCACAACTCATATTTCATATCAACTCTAGTTTTCAAAATAGATTGGAAAACATTCTTTCACCTTGTATTTCCATGGTTTTTTTCAAGTACTTCACTTTACATGAGTATATTTGACTTGGATTGAATCATTGGAAGCATTGGCTCAAACATCGGCGCCAAATGTGTTTGGACAAGAGAGGTCTTTTGGAATGACTAATGACATCAGCAAATTGGGGCAGACATAATTCTTCTAACATCTAACCATAAATGTATGCCTTGTTTTTTATGGTCAGAAACTTCTTCCACTTTAGGATCAATCATCTTATTAGTGGAAAAGTCTTCTCTATACTTTTCTATTATAGTTGTGTTATGTAACTTCTGAAAACCACATACGAAGAATATAGTAATTATGTAACCTATATTTATGTTAAACATTACACATTTAATATTTAAATTTTAATAATTTATAAGAAATAACTTTGATCTTTGAGAGATATACCACTAGAAAAATAGTTTTTAGCGTCGGTCGTTTGCAGGTGTTAAAGGTGAAAAAACACACGCTAATACAAGTTTAGCATTGGATTAGCATCGAGGTCGGGACCTTGGATAACTGGAAGCTAATGGATAGTGTCAGCTACAGAGAAGTCGACGCTAGTTAGCTTATGCAAAACCAAGGCTAGGTGAACACTAAAAGACGGACTTTACATTTTTCCAGAGCATGGAAAGTCAACATTTATGTTAGCGTCGGCCGAGACTACGCTAAAGTCAATAAATAGAAGTCAACAACTTCATTTAGTGTAGACGTAGCCTACGCTAAAGTCAATAAATAAAAATAACAATTTCTTTTAGCTTAGGCCTAGCCTACGCTAAAGTCAACATAGAAAGGTCAATAATTTATGTAGCATCGATTAGATCGACTTTATAGTCAACGTAGAAGAAGTCACTAATTTCTGTTAGCATAAGCTAAGCCTACGCTAAAGTCAACCGACAAAAGCCATTGAAACATGAGCAGGCTACGCCAAACAGCTGAAAAGGAACTCATAATAGTATACAGGTTGATGAATATGTTGATTTACAAGCCTCTAAAAATGGCACAAAATAGAGAAAAACTGTGAAAATTTAGAGAAATAAAAGTATAATTCCTCATTGAGTAACTAATTGGCATATATAATTGGTATACAGAGTAAAATAACACAGTTAAAGTATATAATATAAGTATGTAACTAATTAAGAGAGAATATAACACTACCGGGACAGTGACAACCAAGAGTCTTAGGAAGTTTCCTGCTATGGAATATCGAACAAGTGCAGCTGAAGTAATGGAAAATAGTTTAAAAAATGATACTAACAATTAATAACTATAAAAAAAATAACAAATAGAGTTCAACAACCATATAAATTTCATATATACCTCCATTGACGTAGTCAAGTTCACCGGTCTTGAAGGCATCATCTTGAATCGGATATGCTGTCACGCCTTATCACTTAATAACAACGGGAAGGAAAACTTTTGTTGCTTATAAATGAATTTTTCTTTCTTTACTAAAAGTTTTCATTAAAATTAATACTGAGACCACATAATGAGGAGGAGGTTCAACCATAAGTTTGGGATACAGTACATGTCATGCAAACTATAAATCCCTTCATAAATACTATTAGTATTTGTGTGATTCCGCACAAATTTGAAAATCTATCATGCAGTAATGAATGACACATTGAGTCAAGCTACAAACACCTGCAATTTTTACATGTTAAGTCATTCACACTGACAATGCCTGTGAAATCTGCATATCAAAAAAGTGAAGACATGGAGAGAATTTTCTTAAAACTTCTTTCAACACTAGAGCGATTTCCAGTCTTTACACCAACGACAAGAATGAATAGTTTAGGGATTAATTTGTATACAAATTTTCTTACAAATTACACTAATCTTGAAACTTTTCACTATCATTTTAATTTATCCAATTTAACTCATACTTGTTCTCTCAAAATGCTTTGCACATAATGTGACTGGTCTTGCTATGGTTAAATTGTGAAATACCTGCAATTAGCTTAGCTTTAGACTGAGTCAAAACTGCAGCAAATCCAGAAAAGCCATGCTTATTGCTATATAGGATGGAATTCCTAGCAGCCCTCTTGCTGATAAAAAAAAGTCAATTTTAGATTTTTAAAACTCCATTTTTTCAATTATTTTCAAGAAAACAATTAGCAAGAGTACTACTACTCATGTTGAAAATGCCAAATATGTTAACTTCATGGGAACACAAACAGAAAGAAGTTCATTGAAAAGGAACGATAATTCAAAGTGAAACCTTCCAAGCATACATGACAACATGTCATGGTGGGATTCTTCAAGTAGTTGTGACTCATTCTAGTTATGGCTTCAGTCACCCATATACACAATATGAACCTACAAAAAGTTGCATATATAGATGCAAAAGAGAGGAAAACCCTTTAGCTATTTCAAATATGCTACTAAATTAGGAAAATGTCCTATAATAAGAAAAACACATGTTGACTGCTAAAATCGAAAGAACCAAAAACGCAAGACAATTTTTGCAGTGATGTGTCTGACAAGGTTCAGTTAACCACAGACCCTGCATGCAGTAATGTTAGAAGATTTACCCTGCCAACATCCACCATTATTTTCCAAACACTCGTTTGTTTCCATGTCTGCAAATAGTAATCAGTAAACTTTTTAGCTATGAACAAGATCGAATATCAATATGTCAAATTAAAGAGTTTGTGAAATGAAGACCTAAAGTTAAGCAAATTGATGGTTCAGTGGTCTCCTGGAAACTAGAACATATTGCCTTGAGAAATGTTGATCTTGACAAGAATACAGTTTTCATGTGTTTGGCCTTTATTATCTTCTCATTGGCTGGAGCAGAAAGCTTCTACAAACTGACCAGCGAAAACTCAAGAATCTTTCCAAGGTAATCGACATCCAGTTTACCTGATTTAAGCACCTTTAGATAGACTAATCAAAACTCAAAAAATAGTTTTCCTAGACCATTGATAACTTAGTCAAAATATATAGAAACTCTTCAAGAAAAGAACTTGTTCCTATATCATTCAACAGTTTGCAATGAACTTACTAATAAGAAACCGTCCGACAATTGTTGCATTAGCTGGTAGATATCTACACATGTGGAAAAGGAAAATAATTAATCCAATAACATGCTTAAATTTGAAATTAAAATGAAAATGACATAGAGCTTTTCACCTTGTAGTTGCTTGTTATTGCCAAATTGTGTCACTGATGTCAAATGCTTGTTTCTAACCATAACATTTGTTTAACCAAAACCAACATTTCATTAACAAAGAAGGTCAATACATAAATTTCACTACATATGCAGTTTCAACATAACATCAACAATGCAATTCAAATCCTAATTCAACTATTACATTTCGTAATAAAGTAAACATTAAACATAAAGGAGATAACAAAATATAACATCTTCAAATTTCTAGAAAATATCTATGATTTTTGTTTGTTCTTCAAATTATTATTCTTCTTTGAATCTTCATACATAACCTTCAAATAGCCCATAGCTTCCATGCCTTCCAACTCTGACTTCATAATGCTCCCATCTTCATTTACACCTTTTTCTCCAATGTCTTCATCCCATATGAAAAAATTACATGTCTCATCACTCCTCCAAAATGGACATCTTCAAAAAAGCCTTCCTTTATTTTTCTCCTTCTTACATTGGTACAAAACCTTACGACCTACACACCCATATAATTTTCCAGATCGAGATTTTACAAAATAAGAAAAAATAAAAGAGGGGTTATTAGTGGCTGAAGGTAGATGATGATATAATGATGTTCTTCGAATTAGTGATGGTCTTCAAATCGGTGATGTTCTTCGACTAACTACACATGGTAAAATTCAGCACACTAACATTATTGCATATTGAGGTTTTGATCGATCAGAAACATCAATCACACAAATTGACAAAGCCATCATACCTAAAATACCTAAGCACATGTCTGTCAACAATTCAGAATTTGAAAGCATTTCTTATTAAATCAAAACCCTTGTAGAACAAAAACAAAATCATCCAACCCAACCTATCTATAATCTCAATCCAATATCACACACACCCACAATCATGCATGCTAATTATCAAAACTAAAACTTCACCCAAATTTCAACTTAATTAGCACAAGATCACTACCATTACAAATAAATCACACAACATATAAGAACAAAGGGTAATCATAATCATAGGACCCCAAAAGCAACAAAGTTTGCACATAATATGTGAGATGATCATTATAGGCAAAAAGACAGAAAGGGTGAGCAACATCAGTGTAAATTATTGACTGCAAGCAAGAGATCAAACAAAATACAACTCAAAGTACTCAAATTACTTTATCACCTTTTCTTTCACAAGTATTATTTCATCCCCTAAACAGTGTTTCAGTGAAGAGTTTGGAATTGGAATCGGTGAGAAACGCAAAATGCAGCTAAGTTAGGGCAAATGAGTTTGGAATTGGAAACATAAATCACAAAACGCATAACGCAGTGTTTCAGAAAGGAGTTATTTTCTCTTTTTTTTTTCATTTTATTTAGTCTTGATTTTAACTTATATTCTCATTTTAATATTTTAATTTTTAATTTTAGTTTTGATTTTAATTTATTTCATTTTTATTTTATTTTAGTTTTAGTTTTATATATTTTATGATTTTTCTTTTAGAATATAATTTTTGTTTTTATTTATAGTTTTAATTTTATTTGATTTTATTTTAACAATTTATAATTTTAGTTTTATTTGATTCTAAAAAAGATTAGTTTTATTTTATTTGGATTTTATTTTATGATAACAATTTATAATTGTTGAATATTAAGAATAAGGGAATATAAACAAAAGGGAGGAAAATCAAAATTAGGGGGGAAAGAAATGTTTTTGCAACCGTAGATTTACATTAGCGTCGGCTATAACCAACGCTAGAAAAGAAATATAAATAAATAAAAAATATTAAAAAATAAAATAAAATGTGTCAAACGAAAATAGTGGAGGGAAAGGTTTTCACTTTGATAGTATTTCAATAGCGGTGGTTTAATCGACGCTACTAAGAAATAGATAAATGAATAAGAAAATAATTAAGAATATTAGCGTCGACTTAACCGACGATGCTACTAGATAAATAAATAACATTAAAAATAAAATAAGATATGTCAAACGAAAATAGTGGAGGGAAAGGTTCGCGCTTCAATAGAATTTCAGTAGCAGCATCCAGGACGCTAGTATTTCAATAAATAAATAAATAAACAAACAGATAAATGTATATGAAAATAATTAAGAACATTAGTTTCGGCTTAACCGACGCTACCATTAAAGATTTACTTAAAAAAATTTAAAAAGGGTTTAACCTTTTATTTTTCACAAGAGAGACACATATTCGACGCTAGTAGCGTCGGTGTCAAGACTGGCGCTAAATACCCGACGCTAAAATGCAATTTTCTAGTAGTATTCTCCATCTTTTTTCTTGTCAACAAGAGCATACACATCTCTAAACGAAACTACATGTTTAAACTCCTCCTCGTGCAATTCACATTTATAAAGTAGTGAAAGAAAAAAGTCAAGACATGAAATTAATCACGTTCTATATAATACTTTACACAATATTTATCTAAACAAACAAACAAAACTACTAACAATAAGAATCACAATTGCTTGTATATCTACCACGAATTACAAAAAAAAATGATAGTAATACATGAGAGAAATTTATTCTCTAGCACATTTTATGTCATAATTATACATGAGGGAAATTTACTTTTTAGCACAATGTATGACATCCTTTATACAAATCAAATAACAAAACCATTTAATAGTATTCTTCAACAACAAAAAAGCTCTTCTATACAAAATAAGACAAGAGGATTATACGCTATGTAAAACCAAAAATGTGCGCTCCAGAAATGTATTTCTGGGGCGCACATTTTTTCTTAGAAATCTTGTTTGAAATTAGAAGTGCATTTACGGTTTGGTACCGTATATGCATTTCTAGTTCCTGCACAGACAATTCAGAACATATTATTATGCAGGTTTTGGTGCATATTTATAAAATACAAAATATGATTTCGATTAAATAAGAAGTGATCCCAAAATATATACAAATGCTGATAAATATTAGTTCTAAAATACGTACAAAATACGATACACAAAATATTCCTCAAAGTGTTATCCATATAATCCAAAATATGAAAAACATAAAAGTACTATAAACAAAAGTCATCTAAAACTATCAGACTACTGAGTATGTCAGATAATTAGTCGGCATGTGATGTTCCCCATATTCCTCCGCTGCTGTCTGTAACACAGAGCCTCCCTTGCCTCCGCCATGATGGCATCCATAACACCTCTAACATCAGAGCCATCGGGAAATAGCCCCTTATCAATACCCGCATGTGAGATCTGCATGATACGATGATACCTAGGAAGCACGTCAGTGACATGATCAACATGTGCCTGCTCCTCATATAGAATCTCTGCATGTGTTGGTCTAGGTGGGTTACCTGGAGCCTCATGTACCAGATATAGATGTGACACCTGGAAGAACTATAAGATATATCCATCCTCATAGCTCCAATATTTTGGTGCTACGATACTTCGGGCCTCATCTGACACGAGATGGTTAAGATAATCATCAAATATGTCATCCATATCCCTCGTTTCATCATGGAAGGGGCACACTCGGAGGGGTATTTGAGAATGTTTTGTGTTTTGAAGTTTTTTGTCTTGCTGCAAATGAGGAAGGGGAATAAGTGGTGCGGGTATAAATTAAATTATAAACCGGAAATACACTAACAGTTGAGAACAGGTGTTACATATTTGGTTCGTTTCAACGTGATACGGTATGGCTTCTCATAGTGTTTTTTTAGTTTCATTTAGAGTGTAGCTGGAAATATAACATCGATTTGGGAACCGTAAGTATATTTCTGGTTTGTATGTTGTTTTCATATAATTAGATGCACACCAGAGATGCATTTCTGATTCCTGGGGACATATTTGAAATTTCATGCTGGTGCCTTAGAAACACGTAGGGTGCATTAAGAAATTCTCATAGAACAAACATAATAATCAGAGTCCAAAGTGATAAGAATTTAACGCAGTAGTCAAGTGGCCAACTCTAAACCCGTTATTAACCCATAAATTTCACATGTCATTGTTCAAATCTCATAAAAAATTTAGGAAAAAAATACTCATCTTAAAAATATGACAACTTTTTTCTAGTTCCAACTGCATTAGTTGTTCTTTTGTAAACCCCTTAGTTTGCATGTATAAATTTCTCCTTCATGGTGGTACATGTAAATATATTATTTTCCTTTATCAAAGAACATATAGTAGATAAGGATTTTATGCAAGAAAAAATTTGGATCTAATTCACAATCAGAAGGGACAAGCATTAGTTTTAATTCATCATGTTATAAATCCAAGTTAAGAGCATAATGCATATGAAATTCTACTAGTAGACAAATCACATCAAATACGTAACTTACCATCCTTTTCTTATGTTCACATAAGTTTATAGAAACTCTTGTGTGCAACAAGACATCAGGTAAGGAAACCCTGTTACAATGATTTGCATCAAATTTCTTCTTCCACTCTATTTTCAACCAAATCGTTCCATACTTCTTCCTTCATTCGTTTGGGACCATAAACCTTAATGTCGACCAAATTCGTTGAGTTCACCTATAGTAAAGCTATTTTTATTGCATTTTTTAAATGATCAGGATATTGATCAAAGCATGTTCTTTCTCACACAGTTCTTTCGATATTATGATCATAATCTGATGGGAACTTATATTTATCCTACACCATTATTATAATATAAATACAAAGAATCTTATTTATAATTAGAAATTATAATACTATAAATTATAAATACTTACCATAAAACTCTTAAATAACTGATAATTTGCTTCAATCGCATAATTTTTTCACTTTTCAGCTAGAATAGGCATCCTCGTGATCACCTTATATATAATATCACGAGTCACATTTTGAGGAACAACCCTCCTCTTGAAAATGGGATATAAACTTATTTGATTAACTAAAATAATGTTATAAAATTAAATAATCACTAGATTAAGATCCACGCGATGCGTGACTGTAAATTAGCTTGTTTATTTTTATTGAATTTTAAATATATTAAGAGTTTGTTTTGACAAAATATGATTACTAAATTTATATTAGATACTTTTTTTTGAATTATAATAGAGACAATAATATAAATGAATAACATAGACAAAAATATCATTTATTTGAAAAAAAATACATACGTGTAAATTGATAGTGATATCCATAATCTAAGTTTGCAAACTTACATATCTATAAAGTGATTTTTTTTGTTTTGTTTTAATTCTCATGTTTTTTTTTTTGCATTTATCTTTTATTTGGATATTTTATGTTAATTTGTTAAATATATGTATTTATTTTTAGTTTTAAATAAAATTAAAAGTTTATTTATAATTATTATCAAATAAAACTTTCAATAACTTTTTAAAATTTATGTCTATTTTATCGAACTTTATAAGATTGTTGCATACTGTATTAATTTTTAAGATCAACTTAAAGTGACTTATATTTAAAAATTGTGTAAGAACTACTTTAAAATTAAAAACATTTATTTCAAATATTATTTTTGTTGTTATAATTTCAGGAAAACAAAAAATATGTTATTGTGTTTGGATTTTGACATCTCTTTTATTTTTAAAATTTAAGAGAAATATTTTTAAAATAAGAGAATTTACATAGTTATGATTCGCTTAAAATAAAATCATTTAGATGAAAGATAATAATTGGTTAGAATTGCTTTAACTCTTATTCTTTCATGCTTCAAAAGCAAGACAGAAATAAAGGACTAGGACAATGGTTCCATAAGTTCCTCTTAAGCTTCTAATTATACTACACAAATTAAAATTTATGTGTAGCTCTTAGAAAGTATTATGTTAACATATAACTTGTCATTAAGATTAATTGCTAATTTTTCTCAAGCATCTAAAATATCATGAGAATTACAATATTAGTAATTTAGACATATTTTTTTGGGCCTTTTATTACTTTATCAACATGACTTTTGCAATTGGTCCTTACTCGATAGCCTTTGAAAGAGAAGATTTTCACCTGAATGCTTTGATCCGAAATGAGATCTTAAGATTCCGTAGCATCTTAAAAGCCTCTTGCTTACTCCCCTCAAAATATACCAATATGTAACCAGCAACAATACCGTCATAAATTGTCTTGACCGTGTAACTGGTAACGGGCTCCAGTAACCAAACCACGCTTCGGAGAAACTCCTTCCACCAACTCGAGGAGCTCGAATTTTCTGGCCAGCAGCTCGACATTTACACCATTACATATCCCAAAATTGTTCCACTCCCACCTATTCGCCCTCCACTTTCTCATGCTGTCAACCACTTCTTCCGCCTTTAAACTGATCTACAACAGATCAGGGAATAAA